ACTGTCTTTACAGGAACAGAAACAATAGAGCTGCCAATTAGCGGCTCTGTTAACTGTGAACGATTTATAAAATGTGAATGTTTCAAAGAGCACTGTGTAAAAACTTTTCAATGGAAGCACTAATAAATAAGCCATTATGTTCCTAGTAAACAGAAGTTTTAAATAAGTGTTCTTAAATTAAAATCAGGGTATGCATTCAAAAGTTAAATAGTTTTAAGTGCACTTTCACCTAAAATGCATGATTTTAACCCAAAATCAACACCACTTAATATGGTATCATAGTACATTATTGTAAACCATAAAACTCAAAAGTTTAAATAAAACTCTTTCAAATGATATATAACTTGATTGGTAAAAAGTATATTTTACTCATGTAATTACAGTAATTAGAGACAATTAGAAATATAGTCTCCCAACCTGCATCTCTACCTTAACTACCACTCGAGGTTTCTGAATTTAGAATTGCCTCGGCTCTGTTGTGCCCCAGCGATTCATCGCCAGAAACTCTCTGTGTCGGTGGTTTTCCATTCCATAGTTCAATGGCTCGGGGTATTTATCATGATAATTACAAGTATTTGGGCTACATCTCGAACCGAATTCACACTAGCAAAGATATACATGTATACTAGTTACATCTACGCTAACAAAGAACCGTTTATTCGACCAGTGCGCCTCACCACCATACTTGGCAGATCATGTCGTGTTCCTTTAGCCAGCGTGTATTAAAGCGGGAGGGTCATCACCTGCGCATGCGCGGGAATTGAGTCCCAAGCGACGATAACAACACACGCTAAAAAACGCAAAGGCTCATGGGTAGACGCTTGTTTGTAAACAATGACACGCTATGGCCATCTTACGCATGCGCAGATGACGACTCCCCACTTTGGCAATTCGACATCCCTCGATTCTGTACCATGTCCGTTACCATATGATCTGGATTAGGCGCGTCCAATCAAATTTGTATATTTCACCAAGGTCAAAAACACGACTTCCGTCTCCGAATCACGGAAAGGTCGTGTGTTCACGTCGGGTTCGCGAAACCAAACGATGACGCTGACGTTTCAATTCAAATGCTTGCATCAAAGTTAAAAACTAAAGTGTGTTCGCTTTATGAATCTACGCATATACAACACTGATTAACACGCTATAAAGGCAGAAAGAGAATTCCGATATCCACACATACGTAGTCAAAACAATAAGTCGCGGCGCGTGGCCAATAGTGATATGAACTGCATTGGAAAAACTGTGATCTTGGGGAAAGACATGAATGATTCAATAAACACATGTTGAGTGTTTGTTGGGTCGATTGCTGGAACTCAGGTATAGTTTGGGGAACATATCCGATGAACAGATTTTTTATGCTTGATACCAGATCTGTGGAATTATGTATCAATGTATGAGAAGGAGGGAACCACGCCATCGGACTTGTTTTTGACCGCAAATAGTGCTTTATATAATTTGTTTTCTCTGTCGATCACATTCAGTGTTCCCATGATCAAGTCTCGTGGATTGCTCACTCTCAACGAGATCTCGGCGGCCATTTTAATCTATGGCGACATCAGCGCATGTTCGATAAATACAGGTTGGTAGGTTGATACACCATATTGAAATGTGTCATTATATTCCTAAATTATGTTATATTTTGAAATTATGTGATTGATTAAAGCAGCAATACGGACGGCATCTTGCTGGTGTCGTTGTCACAGACGCTGCACTAAACTGATTTCCTTCTGCGATCAGTCACCATCAACTAAAGACTAAAATTTGAGTTAAATTTGGCTCTCAATTGACCTCAATTTCCGAATGACGCTCCACACGTTCTTAAATATATGTTCACAAGGGATGTTGGCACAAATCACAATAACAGGATATTTAGTATAATGTATAAGAAATTATATTTCATCCCACCCGAGTTTGCATATTCACTGATCCGATGGCTAGAAATCGGAGCGATTGACCACCTCTTCGTCTTTAAATAGACAAGACGAACACTACAAAGATACGGGACTTCGGCACACTGCTATCCCGTATTTGTTGCTAGTACACGATGGACACGATATATACTTTTGTTATGGCTATCGTCGTTTGCTCCGTTTACCCAGGGGGGGGGGAGTTGCATGACACGATTGGTTGAAATAATCGTCTCATTTGCATAAATTAATATTCATGAGCAATGAAAATTTCGTCTTTTCAGTAAAATTGTGCCAAAATGATTTCCGATAGCATACATGTTAGTTCTAAATTGACTGATTCCATCGTTACGAGCTGAAAAAATAATCGGAAAAATTGTGTAAAGGTATTTTTTGAGACACGTTTTCGATCAGACTCCAGCTAACTGTTGAAAGTAAGCACAGGTTTTCTCTTTACCATGATCATAGCAAGTTACGAAATTCATGGAGAATGCAGAGGCACGTTTAAATTTCACTCTAGTACTATTGCTCAAAATGTTTTCGGTGACTTTTATCAGTGACAAGTTACCTAATTAGTATGCATTTCGAGAAATCACAGTGTGTGTGCATGCGCAGTTTGAAATGGAACAGTTTTGAACGCAATAAAATCACGCGTCAAACTGGTTGTCGGTTGAATTGTTTTGCAATAGACATAATTTTGGAGCCTGTAGTTGTCTATGAAATGTTTCTAAGTTTTGTTGAGGATTATTTTGTAAAGAAATTGCTGAAATTATTTCATGTGTTCGTAAACGGGACGTTGTTGCTTTGACGATGGGCTACGGACGACTGACGTCGAAACGTTCCATTCAGATCGGATGGCGCCCTCTCGTACCAATCCCCCCCCTGCGTTTACCGTTAAAGGGCAGCAGTCGTCGCGCCGCGTCCTGTTCGATATGGGACTCATAGCGACTTATACATCGCGTGTAAAATACATTGTTTAGTTACACGAAATTCAAACAGGCGCTGCGCGACGATCACCGCGCTTTAACTATAAATGATGACGTATGTGTCACGTGTTACTGCAGTCGCCATCTGGAACATCTGGAAGACAGTCTGTCGAAAAGAGACTAAAACCTAGTAAACGGTGGTGGGTGGTGAGAGGATTGGAGATTTATTCTGATAGTGGGAGTGTATATTTTCGCGATAATGATTTCCCTGGTCGGGAAAGGTCATTCATCTATGTCCCTGGTTGAGAGAGGTCATTATCCTACGCAGATCTGTGATACAGAATTTTAATTTAGATAATTTCGGGAAAACTGCTAACGCTTTAATGACAGAAATGCTATAATCACGAGGGGTTACGAATTATATTACTAATCTATTTCAAGATATGAAATTTAGTTGAACTATTTGACAACCAACCATTTCGACGGAGATAACGTCTTTTTTTTTCAATGGAAACATGTGTCAGGTGAACCAATGTTACGAGCTCAAGAAATTATTAATTAATGCACTGTCACATCCGACTCATCATTCACAGAAACCGTGCTTACCTTCCCAGGAGAAATAGACGCATCCATTATCTCGGGCTGAAACGGTGCAGGTCGTTCAGTACAGCGCTCCTATCAGGTGGCGCATCAAGACATGCGCAGTCAGACCGTCAGATCACAGGCATACTGATATTGCTGGAGCCGAGTAGCGTGACTCTCGCGGAGCCCACTGATCGTATATTATCGTTGCCATCATCAGCACCGGCGTCACCATGGGTAAATTAGAAGCATTCGGCATCCTTTTCACCGGGGATCGGTCAGTTTATAATTCGGGGGAGTACATCACCGGGGAGGTAATTGTGGAGCTCAACGACAGTATGAAAATGACAGGTCAGTAGCAAAGATCTAATTATTTAAATTTATTTAATACGAAGTATCGCAAGCATCGTGTGAGCCGTACTCGTCATTACAATATGTCACGTTGTTTTGGCTTCTAGCATAACAAAGAGCTGAACACATAGCGTGTAATAATACCACACACGCTGCACTGTACCCCATCTGGCATGCAAGCACCACGCGTCTGAACGATTCCACTTTCACCGACAGACCAGCTGAATCAAAGCATTCAGATAACGTTTAGCGCAACACATATAAGGTCTAGTGGGGTGTACGTAGGTATTGGTATTTGATCTGACTGAAACAATGCAGAATATAAGACCATAAAATGTATTTCGTGTAACAACGTAATTTAATACTGAATATGAAAGGGCAAATGAATACAATTTGATTATTTCCCTTCAATGAAATAAATACCGGGTAATACACAATTTATGATCAAAGCGTTAATTCACTTTCGATTGTAAATTAAATATTTGTCGAAGCATTGTATGATTTTCTATATATAAAAAAAACGAATTAATGCCTCAATTTTTTAGATCGCGAAAATCTCGCGCCGTGAATATTCCTTTATGTTTACGTCACGGTGTTTGCATATGGATATTGTAAGACATATTTGTTTACGGCCGAGTCAGTATTTATATGTCGTGAGGAGCCGCGTACTCGCTTTTAGATAACTTAAAAATAAAACGCAGAGACAACAACATCAGCTCTCCGAGACCCATTACTAGACAATTTACCCTCTGTAATCTCGACTGTCTCAATGATTTTCGCCTCGACACTGGGAATGATAAAAACCCACCAAGACCTTGGGGACAACTTGAAAATGTCTGTTGTCGTCACGTCATCAAACGTTTTCGTCGTCGTAATGATAACGGTATCGTTCTCTATACATTAGCAAATTAGCCAATGTAGAAACTCAACACAGTGTATATTTATATGTTGGTGAAAACGTTGCTTCAACATAAGTCAAATAGAAGATCAAGAATTCGAATAACCATGGTGTTTGTATTCAGGTAAATTTGATTGGCTGGTTTCCGTGTCACGTGATATTTTGCCCAAGTACATTTGTACGCTGACGTCATAATTATCCGCTTTTTTGTTGTCCTTGTTCGTGGTGTTTGTAGAGTAATTCCCAAACATCTATTTGGTATAAGTGTTACCAACCGTTTGCAAGCAAACGTTCGACTTATGAGTATCGCAAACCAAAAATGTGCAGTCGGCTTGTTCAAATTTGGATAAAAAACGTTATTGACAGTGCGAGTCATGCAAAAAACATCGAACGAGCCTGTGTCGTCACTGGCGTAGTCGAACAACATATTAAGCGCACTTAAAACCTACAAATCTTCTATCTTAAGGTACTTCGTTTATTGTCACGCTAATACGATATTATTCTTTATCACACGCATAACATACATATCTCTACAGTGTGACGTAATACAGGAAAGATAAAAAACTGCCGAACTTTTATCATTTTACGCGCTGTCTGAAGATTTTTCGGAGCTTCCGGACTTACATCGGATTTATATACTGTCTTATAACTGTCTTGAAAATGGTTCACTTTGACAAGCTTGTGTGTATATTTTCGGCATTATTATTCAGCCCCTCCAAAAAAATCAATAGGTCACGTGACTGAAATTTGTATAATGCGATAACAATTTTCTATTTATAGAAACTGTCGATGTCTTCACTCCCTAGCGTATATTGGCATAAAACCTGATAAAGCACTCGCATGTTCCCGTTGCACGCCTACACATACTTCTCATGCAGTATTCAAGCGATAAAAGGCGGTACACGTTGTTTAAAAATGCCAGTTCCCAACCTTGAGCACCGTTACCTGTGTCAGCGCTTAACCCGTATCACTTTGACGTCACATAGAGTGATATAACGCCTCGCTCCCGAGGGTCGATTGATTTAGTCGCCTGGTTGCCGGAGTCCTATCACGCCCATGCCCGGGAGCCGACCCTCCTGCTGCTCTTTCGCATCACGAGCAGTGGCAAATTTTGCTTTTGAACGGCAGTGTTCTCCACAAATAAAATTTAAAGAGGGGCGCTAATTTGCATATAATTAGCATATTTAATTAGCATATAATTAGCATACTAATCAAACATTTCAAGAGAAATTCTTAGCACTTTTATATTTACATCAATTATATACTGTGTACAAGTAGTATATTAATGTTCTGAATTATTTTTATGAATAAGTTAAACCACTTGATGTGTAAAAAAATATAAACTTTGACAAATGAAGAATATCAATTTTATTTTTTGTAAAAGTGTAATGGAACAAGTTGTGAAATTCCAGCCTTTCATTTATTTCTTTTAATTTTCTTTTCAAATATTTCCATTTTCATAGGCTTTTATAAATGCACTGAGATATTGTAATAGTTGAAAACCCCAAGTAATAAGAAGAAACATATTTTCACATAACAAAATTACCATTTAAAAGAATAAAAGAAAAAATCGAATCCAATGACTGTAAATAAATTAATCATCATGTTGATTGCATTGTGGGCACTGAGGACAAAGGTCAAATCAGATACCGTGACATCCATGTTGTTTCAGTGTTTACCGTACGTTTTGTTTTGGTGATTTATTTGATGATTCTTTTTACTTTTCGCCAATAAAAGGCAAGTAACAAGCAATTGGACCTATAAGTTGTTGCTGGTTCTCCTGTTCTTAAGGTAGCGAGAAGGGTTTTGTGACGTTTTTAAATAAAACATTCTCTGTCTGTTGTCTCGTTCAGAACAGTAATTTAGGTTATATATATCAAAAGACTAAGTATAGAGGTACAAGTTCGCACAAACTGGACAGTCATTGTTTACATAATTATCACGTGACATCAAAAATGGCGAACCTTGTAAAAATGACTAAGTACGCGATTGCGAGAGCACACTGCGGAATTTCCTGGTGAAATTTACGTCATGCATTGTCCGTAATCAAGCCCATTGAAATGCGTCTCCGATAATCAAAAGAGCTATTATTCCGATTTCTATTCAGGTTTGTTTTTTTGTCCTTAAATTATTTCATACTTGGCACCTTTAACAGACTATTATTCTGTGACAAAGCATTTTCTTTAAAAACCCAGACATATTTCGCACCATCATTATCTTTTGAACGATAACTGCGAGTTT